GCGGCCTTCTCTTTTCTTTGCAGAGATGAGGTCTTGCTCTGTTGCCCAGGCTGGAGTGCGGTGGTGCGATCACGGCTCACTGCAGCCTTGAACTCCTGTGCTCAAGTGATTCTCTTGCCTCAGCTTTCTTAGTAGCTGAGACTACAGGCACATGCCACCATGCCAGCCTACTTTAAATTTTGTTTATTTTTGTAGAGATGGAATCTCAGTATTCCTCAGGGTGGTCTTGAACTCCTGGCCTCAAGCAGTCCTCCTGCCTCAATCTTCTGGAGTGCTGGGATTGCAGGTGTGAGCCACCGTGCCTGGCCAGTTCTGGTTATATCTACACAGGCATCAATCAGTCCTCAGGGCTCAGCAGCCTCCAAGGACATGATAGATAAGGAAGGACTTGATGGCCCCATCCGTGCCAGCCCAGGGTCTAGGGTGTCTGTGGTCTGAGAGCTTCTGGGTGGTCACTGGGTCCATTCAGCCCCAAGCCCAGCTCCACTGAGCAGCTCCGAGTGAGGTTGCCTTCCCTCCAACTGCTCGTGTCAGTCTCTGGGACTGTCCTCTCCCGAGGCTCAGAGGAATGAGGTCTCTCCTCACCCCAAGGCCATCTGCTGCTCATGCCCAGACTTCAGTGGGCCTGAGGACACTTGGGGATGAGGGACATTCTCACATGAAGACCCATCCTGCAGAGTACTGATGGAGGATTAGGGATTCATGCAGGGGCCCTGTCCCCCCTCTGGGAACATGGGCCAGCTGAACTGATCTGGGGCGGCAGGACCCCTCTTTTGTTGGGGGACAGCTCGGCTGGTTGGGATTGTCATTGACCATGGTGACAGGATTAGGTTGGGTATCACAGAGGCCCTGGACCCTTAGGTGTGTGGGGAGCTTTGCTGAAAGCACAGAGTTCATGGCTTCACCCTCCCCCGCCCCGTTTTGGGTTTTCAGGTCCCCTGCAGGGCATCGTCCTCGTGGCTGGAGCAGCCTGGCTCTGTCCTCAGGCCCTGTCCTGCACAGGGTCATTGTGGGAATACTGGGCTCATGCCCATCACAGAAGGGACTCCTTTGGGGCCCGGATGCAAACTAGACCATCCCAAGGAGGCTGTCACCATTTTGGTGACACTTTCCAGGGTGGCCTGGTGGTGTCAGGCTCCTGGTCAGGAGGGTGAACTTCCCTCCGCCTCAGCCATTCACCTTGGACTGAGGAAGGCAAGTGGGGTTGACACAGGGGTGACTTCTAATGAATGGGGAGGCTGCATTTGTTCCTCAGCCTGAGCCTGTCAAGAAGAATGAGGTCGGAACACTCCGCCTGCGCCTCCCACCCTGCTTGCCTCCTCCAGGCAGCCCGGGGCTGCCGCGGTGCGCAGGTGCCGGGCCCTGCCTCGCCGGCCATGGTGGAAGGGGGCGCCGTGGGGCGCTGGTGGCGGCGGCGGCTGCGAAGGCGCGGAGCGGCCCCCATGGGCCTGGCTGGGCTGCAGGAAGAGAACGCAGTTGTTACACATCACGAAGTCAAATGCCAGGGGAAACCATTAGCCGGAATCTACAGGAAACCAGAAGAGAAAAGAAATGCTGGGAACGCAGCACGGAGCGCTGTGAAGTCCGAGGAACAGAAGATGAAAGATGCCAGGGGAGGTCCCCTGGCACCTTTTCCAAACCAAAAATCGGAAGCAGCAGAACCTCCAAAAACTCCACCCTCGTCTTGTCATTCCGCCAATGCAGCCGTCGCCAAAAAAAGCCCATCAAGGGCAAACAGGCCCACCCCAAAAAAAAGCTCAAGGAAAAAAACGCAACAGAATTGCAAACTTATGGATTGCTACCCTGTCCGAAGGAGCTCCAGGAAGAGCAACGCTGAACTGCAGTCTGAAGAACGGAAAAGAATAGATGAATTGATTGAAAGTGGGAAGGAAGAAGGAATGAAGATTGACCTCATCGATGGCAAAGGCAGGGGTGTGATTGCCACCAAGCAGTTCTCCCGGGGTGACTTTGTGGTGGAAGACCACGGGGACCTCACTGAGATCACTGACGCCAAGAAGCGGGAGGCTCTGTGCCCACAGGACCCTTCCACGGGCTGCTACATGTACTATTTTCAGTATCTGAGCAAAGCCTCCTGC